ACTCTATCACTTGAGCCATGTCTCTACTTTTCTGCTAGTTAATTGGAGATCAGAGTCTCTTGGATTTGACTGCCCAGGCTGGCTTTGAACCTGGATCCTCAGATCTCAGTCTTCTGTGTAGCTAAGATCACAGATGAGTTTTTGGTCCATAAGAGCATTCCAATGTTTTCAAATCTTCACATTGGTGTCAAAATTCCCAAAAGTTTTTTTTTTCTTAAATAATAATGCTGGGGATTGGGGGGAGGGGGCCAGACAAATGGAGAGAGGATCGTCAGGCAAATATTGTCATAGTAGTAACTGCTATTAATAGTACCTCTATTCAGATTTCTAATGCTTTGTTTTTAAAATTAGTATGACATTTTTTTCTGAGTATGACTTCATACCTATTTCCACTTGCAAAATTATCTTTTGCTTAAATAATACAAAAATCAATTACCTTAATTTCAAGCCAAGACAAACAAGAAAGTTTGGACCAAGGTGATAATGGAGGAAGGCGCCATCATCTGGCAGGCCAGATGGAAACAATGAAGGGGAGACTGTATGAAGACTGTGACAAAGTAGCTCATAAACAACAAATCTATTTCTCACAGTTCTTGATGCTGTGAGTCTGTAGTCAAGGTGCCAGCATGTTCAGGCTCTGATAAGCACTGCCAACTTCTTGTGATAGCCTCATATGACAAAAGTACTAATCCCATTCATGGGCCTCTACTCTAATGACCCAAATGCGTCTCCAAAAAGTCCACCTCTTAATACTCTTGCACAGAAGATTAGTTTTCAACCTATGAATTTTGGTTGAGTTCACCGTTGAGGAGGAATGGGGAAAATCAATTGTCCTGGTATGTTATGAATGGAATCTGTCACGAAAAGTCACAGAGAATATTAGATGATATTTTGAATTTATGGATGGGTTCACTCAACAAGTAACTATTACCTTCTCAATGCCGAAGTACTAGGCACGCTAGTAAACAGGTTAGACAGAAATCCCAAATTTCAAAGATCTTACATTCTAGTGGGCAGCGACCAATGTATGTGCATGTGTATGTGTGTGCTTCAGATGGTAATAAGTGCTAAAGAAGGGGGCAAAGGAGAATAGGGAGTGCAGAAAAAATCCACATATTCTTAGACTTTGTTTACTGATGTAGGAGGTTTCTTTCTATTTTACAGCTTGACTCTGGGAAATGAATTCTTTTTGCCAATTTGACTATGAAGAGAATATGGATTGTATACTTAATATGGAATGAATGAAACATTCTGTCTGGTGTCCTTCGGAAGGCTCCTGAGCAATTTGAGTGTTCTTTACAGGGACAATAGATTATTTTAGCAATAAGTGGTGAGTTAGGTTTGGGCAGTAGCTATTGCAAACAACTGGATTTAGACATCTACTTGGGATTAATTCTATTTAACCTACTCAAGTTGTCCTCATTAGGGCTTTTCTCTTAGCACACTATTAGAGCAATCATATACTGTATTTTTAGTGTCTTATATAAACTTCCCTACAAATGCCCATGTTATATAATCAGCCTACCTCCCTTTCCCCCCCCCTACCCAGGGACTTTCCTCCAATTTCTAATTTTCATGGCAGTGATGAAGAGATATGTGTGAGGTAGGGGATTCCTAGCTAGTGTACATATATATGGACCAGGGATTGACTCCACCTCCTACAAACAGGGCTGAATGTGCACACAAAGTGTGTTTCTTGACACGGTCCTCTTCCATTCTTAGCCTCTACTGTCTACTGTTAACATTTAGACCAGGTGTGGCATTGCAGCTCCTGAGCCTTGGAAACTCTGCTGTCCTCTTACTGTGTTCAAACAAATTGTTATGGCTGATTTCAGTTCCCTGTTTTTACAGGTGGCAAAGGAGACCTAGGGAAAATAGCTGACTTCCCTAGGCACAGAGGTAGGAATATGATCAGCACCAGATTCTTCTCAGATCTGTTTACTCCTAGATTGATGAAATGAGAATGTGGTCTCCAAAACTCCTTCCATCTGTACATCAGGAACACAAGTGCTGATTAGATGACAATTTATGAATTACTGATTTCAATGCATGGAACACAGTGGTATCATCAACCTGATAGAATCAGGAAGAAAACACATTTTGCTTGGCTCTTCATTTATCTATCTATACCTAGTATATATCATCTATTTATCTATTATTTATTTGTGCTAGGGATTAAATACATGTACCTTACAATCATGCTCTAGGACTGAGCAATACCTCTAGTCTCTGCTTTGGTGCTTAAAGCTTAGATTTCATCTCTCTTTTAATGTTACAAATGTGAAAGAAGTGATAAATTCACCCAACAAAAACAAGAGGTTCAAATACACAACTTCAGCTGACTTATGTACAAGAAAAGCACTGTTATGTTATTCTGAAACAGGAGTTTACCTAACTATATCAGGAAAAGTCTCATGGTGAGGCCGTGGGCGGGAGGGATAAGCAGAGAATGATGGTGATAAGCATTTTCCAAATTAGGAAACAGATACGCTTTTCTTCTTACTCTCTTACATAACTGATCTATTTTAGAAGACAACACTAAGAAACTGAAATGAAATACAAATCTCATTATTTTACTACTTTGTTAGCAAAGAATGACACAAGCAAGTAATGCTGAAGGGGAGAAAAGAGAGAGTTCTTGAAACCATTCAATTTCTCCCAAGCCAGGGGCTGGCTGGCTTTGTTATAGGTCTCCTGTCTTTCTTCTCACAGCCTGCTAGATGAGTCAGAGACCAAAGTCTAAATTTCAGAAAATGAATGAAGATACTAATTTCTCTCTCCTTTGACTTTTAAAAGCAATTGTATCAAAGAACACATCCCTTTTTGGAGGCTCAGGATGACAGAAGAGTGACCTGTCACAGGGCCAGTGACTGCATTGCTTGGACTTCCTGATCCAGAGGGAAGCTGTGCAGCATACAAAGGCCACAGTGGCAGTACAGCCTCTTACATAAATAAGTTACATAAATGGGAACAAGTTATGTAAATGTATAAACCAGCAAACACGAATTATCACCATTCACAAATGCCAAGGAGAACAGGGCAAGATTCCTCCTACAGTCCCATCCCTCCCCCTCACATTATCATAATTGTGACATTTTATTTCATGTCACAATCAGATGTGGTTATTTGTCCTATTTATTAGGGAAAGCCAATCCAAAGGACAAATTATCCTTCCCATTATTTTCTAATACATTTGGGGGGAAATGCCGCAATCACCTGATTTAAACTATATTTGCAAATAAACTTTTGAATGTTCATCAACTATTATACCCCTGTATAATCATGAGCACACTTCTGAACTATTTTCTCCTGGACATTGTGTAAGCTGTACAGAACAAAATGCATTATAAAAGTGAATGTGCATGTGTAATGTGGATAATTGTTATAGTGGCTATGACTTTTCAAGTCTCAAGTGAGTATGTGGGTTTCTGATTAAAATCACTTCTGGTGGTTGAAATGTAGGCTAGATGAGGTTTCAGGTTTTGCTCATGAATCCATCCCAATGCTCTCCATTCCACTTCTTGGATCTGTCTGCAATTTGCTTCAGGGACTTGTGAAAGAACGAATCTATCTCTGCACCTTATGAGAACAGGAGCCTAAGTTTGTTCCCTCTCCCCCACAGCCCTCTATCTCTTCTGAAGTTATTTTTTTTTTTCATTTTGTAGTAGAAACACATGTAACTCAAAATGAGTATTGCCTTTTCTGTATGAACAGGGATATCAATTGGTAGCCAATTTCAGATGGAGCACGCAGGATGACATTCCACTTAATGACTTTGACAATATTTTATTACATTGCCACTGACATAGTATCATACTAGTATAAGGTTATAGGATCTTAAAACCTCTAAACAATCTTGGCTGTGTGATTTTGTACAAATAACTTTCCCTTGCTGGTTCCATTTGAAAAAGAACCAGCAGTTCTAAATCATTTCTTACATGAACAATCCAGTACCCTATAATCAAATCGACATTTTAAGTGAGAACTTTAACTCGCTAGAGTCAAATTTAAAGAAAAGATTTCATATATATATATATAAAGCAGACCATTCCCTCCCTCCCTCGCCCTCCCTCCCCCCACTGCCTTCAGCCAAACCACAAACCACAGACCCTTTTGGGGGTCCTGTAGTGTCCTGTCCTGTGAAAACCGTTCTGGTCTGGATGCCGGGCAGTGCTGGCAGTGGTGGGGAGGACCTGAGGAACTTGGGAGGCTCTTCTCTGGACAAGTTTTTGTCAGGCACCAGTAAAACCTCCCGTGCCCGCCGGGGGGGGGAGAGTCACCTGGGACACGTGGGCTTTTGTGCGTGTCTGCGGGCGGGGAGGGAGTCGTGGGGGTGTCTGTAAAGTTGGTCTACGGCGGATCCGAGGCACCGAGGCACCCGACAGGGCACGCCGGGTCCCTCTGCGGCTAGGTGCCCATCCAGAGCTCACCTGATCGCGGAGACACTGCACCCGGAGGATCCCACCCTCCGGAGCAGGGGACCCGGCCCCACCCAGGTGCACTGGCACGGCGGGGGGGCAATGAGGCCCTCAGCCCTACAAGGCCCGCCACACCCCAGGATCCCCGTCTGGTAGAGGTCTGAGGGGGTGTGAGGCCACGGAGGGAGGGCGGTGCCCAGCGAACGGGAGACCGGGCAGATGGGGTTCTGGGCTCCCAGGGCTTTGTTCAGTGACAAGCCTTGCCCTCCTTTCCAGAGAAGCCAATTAGATCCCCGCTGGGGGATCATCTGACCCCCGCGTCTCTTGCCAGGAGGGGCTCGGAAGGGGCGGGGCCCGGCGGTCCACTTCCCTGGAACTGGGCCGCGGGCGGCGTCGGAGGAGTCCCGGGGCGCGGTTGCGGGCTCAGGCCCCGCCCCTCGCCGCCGAGCCCCGCCCCTCGCCAGGCCCCGCCCCCGGGGCTTCCCGGGCGCGCGCCGCCCCGCCATGTCTGCGCGCCACGCCCCCCTGCTCGCCGGCCGCGTGCAGAGCCGCGCGCCCCGGAGGCTCCGGGACTGTGGCGGCGGCGGCGGCGACGGCAGGCGGCAGCGGAGCAGTGCTCCGCGGACCATGTCTTCTTCGGCCGTGGCGGCGAGGGGTTCCCCGGGAAGGAGTCAGCAGATGGCCCCCGGGCCACGGAGCCGGGGCCGGTTGTGGGAAGTGGGCGGCGGCGGCGGCGGCGACGACCGGCTGGAGCGCGCGGCCGCCGAGCCGGGGCGCTGGGAGCTGCTGCTCCGCCGCGGCGAGCTGCTGGCGCTGGAGGGCCACCTGAAGGGAGCGCTGGAGGCGTACGCGGCGGCGCTGCGCCGCGGGGCCCCGGCCAGGCCCGAGTGCCTCGGCGCCCTGGTGGACTGCCTGGTCTTCCACTACCGGCTCCGCCACGGGCTGGGCTGGAGCGCCGCCCCGGCCGCGGGCGCCGGCGGGCTGCTCAGCTGCCTGGGCTGCCGCGGCTTCCTCAGCGAGCCGGTGACCGTGCCCTGTGGCCACAGCTACTGCCGCCGCTGCCTGCGGAGAGAGCTGCGCGCCCGCTGCCGCCTGTGCCGGGACCGGCTGCCGCCCGCCGCCGCCCCGAGCGCTCCGGATGCCGCGAGCACCCCCGGCCCGCGGCCGCCGCCTCTGGCCGCCGCCGCCATCGCCGCGTCCGACTTCCGAACCAGCGTCGTCCTCAACCACCTGGCCGAGAAGTGGTTCCCGGGCCAGCGCGAGCGGGCGCGGGCGGCCGGCCGCCTCGGGGAGCTGCTGCACCAGGGACGTTACCGGGAGGCCCTGGCCGCCGCCTGCGAGGCGCTACGAGCAGGTGACGCGGGGCGCGGCGCGGGCCCGAACCACGACCCCACCCTCCGTGTCCCCGACGGCCCGGTCACCCGGCGCCGCTCGGCTTCCCCGGGGCCACGCGGGTGTCGGGGACCTCCGTGAGATCGGGTTCTTGGGATGCGGTGTGCGGGGTGGGGTGAGGGTGTGGGGGGGAGATGCGGGAAGGGGCGGCGCCGTGGGGTTCTGCGGTCACAATGGGGATCGCCCCGGGAGCGGGCTGTGACGCGGCGCGGGGAGGGGCGCACGGACTCGGGGTTCCCTCGGCCGCGGTTGACGGGCGCGTGCGCGCGCACCGGGCGCGCAGCGAGTGACCCGGTGCGAGGCCGGCGGGCGCGGGACGGGTGGGGAGCGGGTCAGTCCGCGCGCGTTCTGTAACTGACCTCCCCCCACCCCCCCCCTCTCCGATCCGGCCGGGTTCGCCGCGGAGGACCACAGCCCGGGCAGGGGAAGACTCCCCCCAACCCACTTGGGCGGACCGCGTCTACCTTCATCTCGCCCGAAAGTCACCCGGGCAATTGGAAGCCGCGGGAGGGCAGAATTGCATAAGCTGGGGTGGGGGGGCGTTGTGTAACGGGTGACGTCCGGTGGGCGTGGCGGGAGATCGGCGCGGGCACCCGGCACCGGAGGGAGGCCCCGTCGGCCACCCTGCTTCCCGGAGGTGTGGGAACTGGCCGGAGGGTGGGGGGCAGATGCTACCTGGCAGATGACTTCAGTATTGGTTCCTTTTCAGAAGTTTCAGCCTGCCAGTTTGGAACAATAACTTTATACAAGACTTGGGAGCTCACTTTTGAATGCGCCGTAGGTTTGTCGGGATGTAAAGGTATCTGGTCCAGAGTGTTTGCTACGCTGTTGTTGTGCCTAAGGATTCATGATCATCAAGTCTTACCAGCAGCATTTTTTTTCCTGCTTATGTGGTGCTGAGGAATTGAACCCAGGGCCTCATGCATGCAAGGCAAGCACTCTACCACTGAGCCACCTTCCCAGCCCGATCATCAAGTCTTAAGAGAAGCTTTTGTAGGTCTTTCGTCTGTTTCTTCCTCTTCGAGAAGAGGCAGCTTTGGCCTGCTATAACCCCAGGTTAACAATTTTCCTAAGTTGGATGGGATTGTCAAAGAAGAGTGATGTCAAACTTAGGCAAATAAAGAGTTGTGCTTTAAATCAGGGGACTTTTGCCACCACCACCCCCGCCCCCAGGACCTTATCTAGTGCAACTTTTTGAGGCTTTTTGGTTGCCCCACTTCATGGGGGCTGTGCTAAGGTCCAGACATGTAGTGGCCCTATTGGGGATGCTGCTAAGCATTCCACAGTGCACCGGACAAGTCAGTTGCTTATCAGAATTATCAGGCCCCAAATGTCCATAGCGTTATTGTTGATAACCCTTAACATTTTATTAATAAGCCTTGTGTTAAGGGTATTTAAAGTTGTGTTTTTGCTGTGAAATAGTTCTTGTGAGACTACTGCTGAAGAATGCCTAAACTGAATACTAAGTTTAGGTAATACGTTTGTCAGCTACTGAAATTCATAGTGTCATCTTGTGGGTCTTTCACTCACATTCATTTAATAATAAGTTCCAAGCAGAAATCTGGTATATTTTCAATTTAATACTTTTTGAGAAATAATGATAAAAATGAATTCGGAAGGAAAACTAGTTGGGACTAGAGCTGTGGCACAAATAACTCTAGCTCTCTAAAAGTGAAGAAGATGGACTTGTCTGTAGCAACCATCCTGTGACTGCCATGTCTCCTCCTAGTGAGGAAACTGGAGCTAGACAGCAGTGCCTTCTTCACAGTCACTTAGCTGTCACCTTTTACAGACAACTGTGTTTCCTTCTGTATGTTGATCCATTGTCTACTGTTCATCCTGCCTTCGTAGCTTATAACAAAATAAAACTTAATGACAGAATAAAAACTTACTCTATTTGGCAGTTACTTTTACTATGCAGTTACTCGATCTTAGATGATTCACAATAATTTGGGTCCTAGGCCATGGGAGAGCAGTGAGCAAGCACATTTGAGTAGTTAAGGCCTAACAATATTCAATGAAAATATTTTAAGATTGTAGGAGGGATTTTATTAACAAAGTCTGAGAGATTAACTCTATTCTGTTCTATTTGCATAGATTACACATGGAGATTCTGCCCACTAACCTACTTAATCCTGCTCTTGCAGAACTAGAAGTCAAGTCTTTTCACTTCGTTGCCTTATTTTTTTCCTGATTTGTAATTCTTTTAAAAATGAATTCCAGGGGCATGAGAAGGTGGCTCAGTGGTAGAGAGCTTGCCTTGCATGCATGAGGCCCTGGGTTCAATTCCTCAGCACCACATATGCAGAAAAAGCTGGAAATGGCACTGTGGCTCAAGTGGTAGAGCACTAGCTTTGAGCTGAAGAGCTGAGGGACAGCCCAGGCCCAGAGTTCAAGCCCCACAACCGATTCCCCCCCCCCCTCCAAATTCCAAACTTGGCACAGGTGGCTCATGCCTGTAATCCTAAATACTCAGGAGGCTGAGATCTGAGGATTGAGGTTCAAAGCCAGCTCAGGCAGGAAAGTCTATGAGACTCATCTCCAATAAACCACTCAGAAAACCAGAAGTGGCACTGTGGCTCAAGTGGTAGAGCACTTGCCTTGAGCTGAAGAGCTGAGGGAAAGCATTCAGGCCCAGAGTTCAAGCCCTGTGACTGACAAAAAAAAAAAAAATCCATACTTGGAGTAGGTCTCCAAGTATAGATAGCACTACTGAGGGTAACTATTTTTTACCTTTGCATTCTTCTTTTGAAGTAAAAATATCTTAGCACTGAACAGTGCTGGTAAAGGGCAGATTTTGTGTTTCATAATTTATGGGCATAACTAGGGATGGGGGTAATGCTAAATGATGGAGTATTTGCCTAGCATACATACACAAAGCCGTAGGTTCGATTGTCTGTGCTGCAGAAACAAACCAACCCTACAGTTATTGGCAAAAGAGTCATAAATTTATTTGTACAATTATTAGCTCGTTTGCAGTAGATATTTGAAGTGTGTTTATATAATTGTACAATTGTAGTTATTGAAGATGTCATTGATAATGAAAAGATCTCACTGTTAATTTCTTCCTACATTTCTTGTGGGGAAGAAAAAAACCAATATTATTAAATAGAAAAAAAAATCTAGTCTACAGTTAGCCCACATAGATCCAAACTTATCCCTGCTAATAGAAAAGGAAAGCTAGAAAACCTTTGCCAAAATGAGGAGTTTCCCATTGGATTACGTAAGTTTCTGTTGCATTAAAATATATTTAGATAACATTTAATCCATTGATCCTTTGGCATTAACTCTCATGTTTCATAAAGTTATGAAATACTTTTTGGTATCCAAGGATATTATGTAAAAGTTTTTTCTGCATTGAATCTTTATCCTGTAGTCTGTTGAAATAATCCCACTATGTAATACTGGCTTTTTGTTCTTAATGAAGTTTTACACTGCTTACCTTGCATATTCACCTTATTCTGCCAAAGAACACAACGGAACAGTATAATTTACAGTTAGAATTGTTTGGAAAAGAATGTCCTAGAGAGAATGTTTTTGTCTTCAACATTAGTAATCAACTGTTCCCCAGTGCTTTTGCATTCTTTGAGTCATTTCATCCCCTCAGAGAATCCTGCTGGGTACTGTTAAGTTGAAGGAAACTAAGGCAACTAGAGATACAGATGCCGAGTGCAGTGAAAGCTCTGGGAGCCTCGAGCAGAATCTGGGTATGAATCCCAGTATAGTCCTCCACTATTTTTGACCTTGGGCATGTTACCTAACTGCTGCTGTGGATTCCTTATCGGAAAAGTGAGCATAGTCTCTGCTTTTATGTTGCTTGTGAGAATTAAATGAGGCAGAAAAGTAAAATGATTCTAAAGGCGCCTCCTTCAGAATAAGTTCACAGAAAATACTAAAATATTTTAAAATGTGGTCTACCTGGAAAATGACTTAGCTGAAATTGCCTTCTAACCTTACGAGTTAAGTCCTCTATTTCTACTGATTTCTCTAACGGTTACATCTTCATTCTAGTTCACACACGTTAGTGGTAACATGTTGGCCTAGGTTAATAAAGTGTAAGTACTGCAGTTACAGTTACACAAAGACGAAGGTGTAACACAATCGTCCACATCTGTAATCCCAGCTACTGGCTGGCCACTTGCTGGGAGAATAAGAGGGTCTTAGTTTGAGGTCAGCCTAGCAAAGAGACCTCATCTCAATCAGTAATCAGATACGTGTGTCTGTGATCTCAGCTATGAGTGAGGCACTGGTTAGGAGGGTTAAATCAGACCAGGCTCCCCAAAATAAAGCAATAAAGGTCTGGGAGCTTGGGTCAGTTGGTAGAGTGCTTAGCAAGTGCAAGGCCCTGAATTCAAACCTCAGTAATTAAAAAAAAATTTTTTTAAAAGGACAATCATAAGAACCATAGGTAAATGGAATATTGAATACCTTTAAGGAGAATATGATGGGTTTTAATATCTTTAGCAACTGAACTAGGTTAAGATAACATTTGGATTTAATTAATAACCGATCTATGTCCGTACTGTGCAAAGGACTTCAAACATTGGCCATTGATGCATTGTAGCTGACAAAATGTTTTCACTTCTATCATCCTAATTGATCCTTACAAAAGTTTGTGTGGAACAGAAAGGCAAGAATCAGTATTCCTAATTCACAGATTGAGAAGTGGTTGACTTTCTAAATAATCGAGTTAAAGCTAAAAGAAAATAGGTACGTGGTTATCACTTCTGGGATAGATTTTTTAAAATATCACACATTCTTACTATATAGTTAACAAATACATGAATACCTATAAAACAGCCAGGGCAAGTTCTAGAACTACAGAAGTGAGCAAAATAAGATCTCTTGACAGTTTTTTTTTTATTATTTTCTTTTATAACAATTTGATACTTTAAAATCTCCAAAGCTTAATTAACTTTTAACTGAGTGTATGTAGCATATTACTGATTCATTTCCTTAACT